GGAGCAGCCAATTTCTGAATACCGTATTCAGGATAAATAAAGCACTACCTCTGGGGGGTCTTTTTCAGTTGGCTCCTTGAGATCCGGGTCTCCCCATTACTCTACCTGGACAACTGATGTTGTCAACGTGGAGGCAGAGCTTGACACTTGTGTCTGCTGCCTTTCATCATTTTTTGAACTACCTTTGGATCAGGATTCTGGCCCCATGGGGAGGTTTTCCCTGCAGACACGAGTCACTGGTGTATTTGCTAACATGCCTTCTAAGTCTCCACGCAAGCCGCCCACCCAGGCTGTGTGTGAGCAGCCAGAGGCAGCCTGTGTCCCGCCCCCAGGTCTCTCCAACCCGAGCTGATTTCTGACAACGCTCCTTAACGACAGCTTCCAAGAGGGCTGCCTCTCCTAAGCGTCCACACCCTGGACCTGTGTCCCGGTTTTGTTGATATCATCCAGCTGCAAACCTCACTCAGGCAGGAAACTGCCCTGCCTTCAAACCCATTCAGCTACACCAGGCCAAATGTGTTCAGCGCTCAGGAATGACACGGAGATCTTCAATCAATACAGGAATGGACTGAGGAGCAGCTTTCACTCCACAAACACTTATGCCGCCACCACCACCACCAGCACACAACAGTGCTCTCCACCTACCCCGGCCAGCCCGGCCGGTGTGTTCTTATCTTCTCTACACCTCATGGCTAGCCCAAGACGTCTGCCACTGCCCTTGTTTGACGGGGGAAACTGAGGCTCAGGAAGGTAAAGGGGCTGACCACAGGCCACGCCCCCAATATGCAGGTGATGTAGGACAAGCTGGGCCCAGCCAGGTCTGCTCTGAAGCCTACATCACCCTGAACTGCCCGTGGGCTGCTCATGGTCCTGTCATCAGGGCCTATGAGGAATGGGCCCTGTTCTCAAGGAACAGCCGAGGGCTGGGCTGAGGCCTGACCCCAGGCAGGTCGGCTTGGATCCTGTGCAAAAAGAGAGGGGGGCTGTAAGGGTACTCAGCCCCGGCACTCATGCTACAGAGAGGGCAGAACTCTGGATGACAGAGTCCCTCGCCTGCCATCCTCCTGTGAGTTCACCCCAACCTGGCCCATTGGGGAGGAGGAATTCCTCGGGTTGGCTCATCCTCACTCCCCTTAGAACAAGCGCCTTCTGAAATTCTGAAAAACCTCAAGGACTAAAGACCCAGAAGGAAGGCCCTGTGGAGTGTCTGGATTTAATTCTTGTCCCATCCGTTGGACTAGAGTTCCAGAGGGTGAGAGGCCCGGCCCGCTCCTCTCTGTGCCCGAGTGGACACTGGGGCAGGGTCAGCCTAGGCTCCTGGCAAGGGGTGCTGCCCAGCTGGCATCTGATGAACAGATGTCAGGGAGATGTGTCCTGGGTCATGGCGTGGGGACGGCCACAGGAGAGTTTCTCACACCCTTTTGTAAAACGATGGGAGAAAAAGGACAAAGAGGCAGGTTCCAGGGCACGGGACGGTGGCTGCAGCCGTGGGCAGAAGAGCTGGGCAGGAAATGAGGCATCTCTGGTGAGCACAGCACAGATGGGGTCAGTGCCCAGGGGCAGCAGTGCCCAGCAGCTCATGGGTAAATGAATGCTGGTGGCAGGCGGGCGCCAGGGGCTGTGGAGACAGGATTATTTCTATAGAACAGCAGAGGGAAATGTAGGTATGTCCAGGGCGGGGTCCACCTCCTCCAAAAGCAGCTGCAGCAGTGCAAGGCCAGGTTGGCTCCAGGCCAGGTGTGTGCCCTTCAGCTCACTGTATCACTGGCAGGCCCAGGCGGAGATACAGCCACGGAGGGAGAGCACTGTGCAGGGCACACTCACATTTACTTTGTAAGATCCACCGTGGGCTTAGCATCATGACCTGCACCGCGCTGATGGCAGGCTGAGGCCAGGTGAGGCCAGGCGAGGTGGGAGTCCCTCGGTGAAGCCCACAGGGCAGCTGTGTGCTGGGCAGAACCCTGCCAGGTGCCTGCAGATCCCAGCTGGAGCGGCTGTGGAGGGGACCTTGGTGCAATCCACGCTTAGTGAGCAGGAAAGAAGATACCCTCTAGTGTGAGGCGACGGGTCTGCTTCATTCCTTCATGCACCAGGGGACAAGAATCACTGGGACGGTGCCAGCTGCCTGCACAGTACCCCAAAACAGAGGCTCCAGGCTCCCTCCTGGCAGGTGGGTCTGACTCTCTCAGGAACCCTACCAAACCCCCAAGCTCCCACCTCAAATGCCTGTGCGGCCTCCCAGAGGGAAGCAGTTTGGACCAAACCAGGACGTTCCGATCCACCAGGATCCATGCAGTGTGTGGGGTGCATGTAGTAAGTACATAAGGAATGAAAAGTCCCAGGAAACAGCTGTTCAGGCTGGTCTTCAGTGGCTGCTGAGAGCCCCAGGGCCTGTGTCAGAGCCGAGGCCGCCAGGTGACATGTGTGTAGCGTGAGGCCAGCACTGCATGGGCAGCCATCTCAGGAAGGGGCAGGAGGGGCAGTGGGGCTCCTGTCCAAGGATGCTCGGGAGGAGGTCTGTGTCTGATCCTCAAGGACAGTCCAGGGCTTCCTGTCCAGGTGGGCAGAACGGGCTGTGCTCTAGAGTGGAGGCAGAACCTGTGAGTGGGTGCGGGGGCAGGTGGGGCTGTGGAGCCCTCCTCATGGCCCTTTCAGACCCACAGGCAGTCATGCCACAGGCAGGCACAGATGCAACTGACTCCTCAGTTTGTCTCTGAGTGTGCCTGTGGAACCAGGAAGAGATGACGGCCGCTGGACTGGGTCTCAGGCCTGAACCCACTTGCGGACTCCCAGTGGCGCCTGACAGCTTCTTCCAGAGGAGGGGCTGAGGGGCCCAGCGCAGGCTTCAGCCACCTCTGCTGCTGTCAGCTGTCTTGGCAAGATCTTACCTGCCCTGTAAGATTTGTTGTTAGCTTTTGAAATTGCAGTTAGAAGTGCACAAACCTTAACGGGACACCATTTCACAGCTGCATAATCTGTGCAGCCGTCCCGAGATTAGGACATGAAACCCTTCTGCAGCCCAGAACCTCCTTACCTCTTCCGGTCACAATCCCCAAGGTCACCACTGCTCTGACTTCTGTCACAACAGAGGAGCTCTGCCTGCTTTTGAACCTCCTGAAAAACCCATACAGCATACACTTTTATGTCTAACTTCTTTCAAAAATTTGTCTTGGAGATTTGTCTATTGGTGGGCTAGCATCCCATTGTATGGATATACTGCATTTTCCTCAGCCATCCCACTGTTGATGGACACTTGAGTGGTGTGCTGTTTGGGGCCATCGTAATGAAGTTTCTGTGAACATTCATGTATATGATGGGCATCCCAGTAAGATTCTGCCTGGAGAAAAAAGTTTCGCCAGATAAAAAAATGCCCGAGAACTCAAATTTCTGACTTCTGGACAGCACTGTAAGTGGTATTCAGGCATTAAGTTCTTTGGTCTTAAGCACCAGGACAGAAAAGCTGAAGCAAATGTGCAAATACATGGAAACTCACAAAGTGTTGAGGGCAGATGGGAATCTTACAGAAGAGTGTGTGTGTGTGTGTGTGTGTGTGTGAATCATCTGCCATGGCTGTGGGAGGGCCTCAGATGGCTTGGGCAGCACATTCAAACTAAATGTGCGAGAACTACTGGTCCCGAATACTTGGGGAAGAGGGTAAGAAATGAGAGACAAGGCTGCAAAATAGACTATGGCCTAACTGCAAAGGGCTTTGAATGCCACCCTAAAGCACTTGGACTTTATCCTGTAGGCAACAGGGAATTGACAGATGTTTTAAACAAACATCTTTAAGTATCTGCACACTGCGTGGTAGGTGTGGCAAAGTTGGCCGTGTCACCCATGGGCTTTCGGTGCCAACTCTGAAGCCCTTAAGTGTGTTAGGCAGGGGGGACACATGGAGCCCAGCACTGAGCTGAGTAAACTGCAGTTCATTAGCCAGAGACAGTGGAGAGGCAGGAGATGGTGTGACGACAGGAAAGCGAAGGGCCAGCTGAGTCTAGGGCCAAGAAGCCTGCGCTCCAACCCTGGTTCTGCCACTCCTCGGCTGTAGGACCTTGAGAATGCTACATAACCTTCCTGCACCTCTGCTCATCTGTAAAGCAGGGCCATTCACGGTTTTCACATGCCATTGTCGCTGAGAAGGTTAAATGATCTAGTACTTACAAGTGTCTGGCACACAACAAGCACTCAGGAAGCATCCACTGAAGCCCCTCTGATGGGATGACACTGGTGGTTACAGGAATGAAAGCATGCGGTCAGCTCACCAATGTGCACGTGTGGCCTTGCACTGACAAATGGCAAGCATACACGCCATAGGCAAATACTCCTACACACACACACACAGCCCGACGCTAGCAGGTGTTTTAGAGACACATGTGCTAACATGCTCCCCGCGCAGCAGCTACCCTAAACGTACTCACTAGAAACCTGGTGCTTTAGTTACAGAAAAGGGAAAGGAAATTAGCAGGTCTGGAATTAGCCTCAAAGCACCTTTGCTGTGGTGCCTCTAAGGCAGGGAAGTTGCCCAATAACCCAGAGTCCAAGGAGAACTTTGCAGACGGCCAGCAACGGTTCCTTCCAATCCGTGTGCAGTGGGAAGGGAAAATGTTGCCTTGGGACAGGTTCTTCCCCTCTGGAGCTCATGAGAAAAGAGCAGCTGCACTTGTGGGGATTTCAGAAGCATGGGTGCCAGGCGCACGGGTCCCTTGAGAAAACGGGGAAGGCGCACAAGGGGGCCCTGCTGTCACTGCCCACATGGTGAGACGATTTGCAGCCGGTCCTGGGACAGACCACTGAAAACTGGCCAAGGCAGTGCTCACAGCACCGACCCCGTGAGGTGAATCAAAGCCCACACCCAGCAGCTCTCTGGCTGGAGGCTATTGTGGAGGATCCTCTTTCTCTCTCAGAAAACAGGTTTCAACGTCAGGTGACCCCACTGTAGTGAAACAAGGGTGGGCAAGAAGGAGCCAAACGCCGGGGGGGGAGGGGTGGCACAGTCTTACCTCCACGTACAGGAGCGGGAAGATCCCGACCTTGTCTCCCAGCATGCCTTCCGCCCAGTTCTCATCCACTCTCCTGAGCACCGTCAGAATCTCGTCCTGCAGTTCCGGGTCCAACGTGGACACAAGCACATGGACATACACACAATGCGAAAGGAAACAAGACACTGGTTAGTACCGTGGAGGCTCGGAAGAGATTCCAAGGAATGTGTACAAGAAGAGTGCATCATCCATGCAGGTATCTGACATCTTCACCCAGGAGCACCCTCTCTTTCTTTCTTTTTTTTTTTGGAGGGGGGGGCGGAGTCTCGCTCTGCTACCCAGGCTGGAGTGCACTGGCACAATCTCAGCTCACTGCAGCCTCCGCCTCCCGGGTTCAAGCGATTCTCCTGTCTCAGCCTCCCGATTAGCTGGGATTACAGGCATGTGCCACCAAACCCAGCTAATTTTTGCATTTTTTGGTAGAGATGGTGTTTCATCCTGTTGCCCAGGCTGATTTTGAACTCCTGAGCTCAGGCAATCTGCCCGCCTTGGCCTCCCAAAGTGCTGGGATTACAGGTGTGAGCCATTGCACCTGGCCAGCACCCTCTCCTTCTGACACTACTGATAATAGCTGCAAAAAGCCCCAGATGGGAAAGCCTGGCAATGTAGCATACAGTTAGGACTTTAAAATGCAACTCCTGTTATTTATTAAATGAAAAAAATATATTTGGAATAAAAATAAATTCAGCTAAACAGAAAAGGCTTGCTTTAAGATTCTGGCTCCATCCAAGAACAACAACAACAAAAAAACCCAATCCAACTACATTTATTTAGAGTCGTGGGCACATAAAGCTTTCAATAACCCTCTTAAATTATTTGGAATATTAAACAATACCAAGTACAAATGCACAAAGTGGAAACACATGGAAGGAGAAAGGAAGAGGCAGGGAGCAAGGAGGAAAGACGGGCTTTCGGGGGAGTTGAGACTGGGAGATGGGAAGTCATCGAGGAAGCAAATACTCAGGACACTGTCACAGGTGCCAGGAGACACAGAGACAAAGGGCAGGGCAGTGTGGGAAGGAGGGAGGGAGAGGAAAAGGACAGAGGAGAGATGGGGACTCACAGAGGGACGTGACCAGAGAGGAGCCCTGGGGGAGGGAGATAACAGCTGCAGCAAGTGTCACAAGAGACAGATGGGCGGGCGTGGTGGCTCACGCCTGTAATCACAGCACTTTGGGAGGCCAAGGTGGGTGGATCACCTGAGATCAGCAGTTTGAGACCAGCCTGACCAATATGGTGAAACTCAGTCTCTACTAAAAACACAAAAATTGGCCGGGCATGGTGGTGCGTGCCTATAGTCCCAGCTACTTGGGAGGCTGAGGCAGGAGAATCTCTTGAACCCCGGAGGCAGAGGTTGCAGTGAGCCGAGATCGCACCTTTGCACTCCAGTCAGGGTGACAGAGTGAGACTCCATCTTAAAAAAAAAAGAGAGAGAGAGAGAGAGAGAGAGACCACCACAGCAATGGCCTGGGCCAGACGGGTGTCACTCCAAGAGCCTTTGGTGAACCTCTGTTCCCTCCTCCAGAACCATCCTTCCTTCGGCAGCCAGGTGCATCATGGAACGCCCCAAGGCCTGTCAGCCCACACTGCCCCTGTTATTTGTTCTGTGCTAGACCAGCTGGCCCATGTGTGACTTTAACAGGCTAAGGAGGAGATGGCCAAGAGTGGCCTCATGGAGAAGCCTGTCAGAGCTGAGTGTGCCGCCCGCCTTTTCAAGGAGCTTCTGATGCTCTAACGCAAAGCAGCAATTCGGGACTTACAGGCCTCTTTTGGGGTCAGAGGGAGAGATGTTTTAGGCTGGTGGGGTCCATGAAATCATCAGAGAAAACTGCTTCACTGGGAGCTGAGGGGGCCATAGGGTTTGGTGTCCATTCGAGGTGGGGCAGCATTGATCTAACAGAGCTGGACAGCCCATCTGGGATCACACAGAAAGAGGGCAGGCCTGGCTCTGTGCTGGGAAGCTCCTCCCACACCTCTTCCAAACCGCCCTCTCCCAGGAGAACAAGTAGAGCGTGGGGGCCACCAGAGGCAGTCACAGCCCTCACTTTCCCCATCCTCTCCCCCAAACCCCAGCTTCAAAAACACCCAAACCAAAAAGATTTATGGCTTTACAATGCCACTTTTTCTAACTGACATCATAGGCCAGAAAACGTAAAAAGCATTCTAAGAGCATCATATCACTTCACACGGCCCAAAAGTCAGCCTCAGGTCTGGGGGCATTTAGCAGAGCATCCCTCCAGCAACGCTCAGCTGTGAGTGTGCGGGCGCGTTTCTTTGTTTTCTTTTTTCTTTCTTTTTTTTTTTGTTTTTTTAGATGGAGTCTTGCTCTGTCGCTAGACTGGAGTGCAATGGCCCAATCTCGGCTCACTGTAACCTCCGCCTCCTGAGTTCAAGCGATCCCCCTGTCTCAGCCTCCCGAGTAGCTGGGACTACAGGTGTGCACCAACACGCCCGGCTAATTTTTTTTTTGTATTTTAGTAGAGATGGGGTTTCACCATGTTGGCCAGGATGGTCTCGATCTCCTGACCTCATGATCTGCCCACCTCGGCCTTCCAAAGTGCTGGGATTATAGGCATGAGCCACCGCGCCCAGCCGAGTGTGGCAGGGGGCTTTTCTAATCACCACGAGGGCACTAGAATGGAGCCCTGGCTTGGGGGAGGCACCCACAGAATGCTCCAGAACTCTTGTGACTGACCTGCCTCTCAAGTTCACCACCAGCAGAGGCTCAAGACATGATTGGCCCAGCTCAGATCAGCCTAAGAGCCTGAGGCTTTGCTGATCACATAAAGGGAGAGGTAACCAAAGGCTTCCCACACGTCAGAGCAGTCAGAACAACAAAATATCATGAGATAGAAATTTAATTTTATAGAAGTTAAAAACAAAAAGAAGAAAATACCAGATTAATTTTGTTTGTTTCTTTTTTTTTTTTTTTTTTTTTAAAGAAAATACCATGCTATCCACACTGGTATCTAACACTGGTCTAGAAATTAGAGCCAAATAAATAGAAAAATAAGACAAGAAGTATAAATATTAGAAAGAAGGGTATATAATTCGACCTAGAAAAATACAGAAGCAAGTGAATATTAGAATAAGAATTTAAGAAAGGCTGCCAATTTTAGGATAAATACATAAAAACCATTGACTTTTTCATATACCAGTAATAATCAGTTAGAAAATGTGACTAAAATTGGCTAATCATTAAAAAAATACAATTAGTTCTCTAATCCACTGTATATGCCAAAATTCATTCCATAAGATTTAAACTTGAATGTCCAAGAAGAAAATATGAATAGATGTTTAATCTTGAACGGGGGAATGTATTTCAAGGTATGATAACAAAGATTTGGCTACAGCAAAACTAAATACTTGATGTTAAAAATAGCAGAAACAAAGCAAAAAGGCAAATAAACTAGAAAAGTACTTGCAGGATACATGAGAGACAAAGGCTTAACGTCTTTACTATATAAAGACTTAAAAAAACAGTGGAAAGGCAGACAAATACCTTAGGAGAAAAACAGGCCAAGGCCAAAAATCAGGGAACTCTTGAAAGAAGAAAAACAAATTTCCATTCAACATATTTTAAAATGGCATACCTGGCCATTACTCAAAGAAACACAGTTTTAAACAGGAAGAGTCCCCTTTTGTTCCTTTTGCCTGTCAAATTAGCAATGAGAAACAGAAAGCCAACTCACAGTGTTGGCCAGTATGCACGGAACAGGCATTTTCCCATTTTTGGTGGGGATATAAATGTAGGGCAGGCACTTGGGTGATTCCTATCAAATATCAAAGCCTTGGAAGCCTGTGCACCCTCTGAGCTAACAATACCACTTCTAGGAACTGTATTCTAAGAAAAATCAAGTGTGCAGAAAGATCTGTCACTGAAGACATTCATTATAGTGTTTGTTAAACTAGAGAAAAACTAAAGACAAATGCAAAGCAAAAAGGGACGGGTTAAATAAATTACAGTATTGTGCATTTGACGGAATACACTCAGTTATTAGAAATGATATAGGAGAGAAATAATGGAAATTAAAAGAGAAATGTTAATATTAAATTCAAAAAACAGGCCAGGCACGGTGGCTCATGCCTGTAATCCCAGTACTTCGGGAGGCCGAGGTGGGCGGATCACCTGAGGTCAGGAGTTCAAGACCAGCCTGGCCGATATGGTGAAACCCCGTTTCTACTAAAAATACAAAAATTAGCCAGGCACGGTGCCACATGCCTGTAGTCCCAGCTACTTGGGAGGCTGAGACAGGAGAATTGCTTGAATCTGGGAGGCAGAGGTTGCAATGAGCTGAGATTTTACCACTGCACTCCAGCTTGGGCGTCAAGAGCAAGACTCCATCTCAAAAAATAATAATAATAATAATAAATAAATAATTCAAAAAGCAGGATGGGCACAGTAGCTCAGACCTGTAATTCCAGTACTTTGGTAGGCCAGGTTAGGCAGATCACTTGGGGCCAGGAGTTCGAGATCAGTCTGGGCAACATGGCAAAACCCTGTCTCTATTAAAAAAAAAAAAAATTAGCAGGGCACAGTGGCGTGTGCCTGTAATCCCAGCTGCTCTAAAGGGTGAGGCACGAGAATCTCTTGAACCAGGAGACGAAGGTTGCAGTGAACCAAGATCGTGCCACTCCACTCCAGCTTGGGTGAGAGTGAGACTCTGTCCCAAAAAATAAAATAAAATAAAATAAAATAAAATAAAATAAAATAAATTTAAAAAATGAATCCCAGTCCTGATTTCTGGTATTTCAGCTTACCTTCCACAAAGCAATCATTAATAAGTTTCTTTTTGTTTATTTATTTATATATTTTTGAGATGAGGTCTTGCTCTGTTGCCCAGGCTGGAGTGCAGTGGAATGATCACAGCTCACTGCAGCTTTGACCTTCCAAGCTCAAGTGATCCTCCTCACTCAGCCTCCTGAGTAGCTGGGACCACAGGCGTGTGCCACCACACACAGCTAATTTTGTTTATTATTATTTGTAGAGACAAGGTCTCACTATGCTGCCCAAGGTGGTCTCAAACTCCTGGGCTCAAGTGATCCTCCCACCTCAG